GGGTTGTACTGAGTTTCTCAAAGCGAACCATTCATAGTTTGCCATGTTTACTGTTTGAACTAATCAGAGTTAGAATATATCTTTTATATCCATGAAAACTCTGGAGCATATTGGTATCCGACATAGAAATATCCATTGCAACCTTCTTGTCAGAACAACTTGGCAGAAGGTTTTTATTTCAATGTCTTGTTCCACGTATAAAGAATGAGTTGTCAAAAAAGGAATTATATGAAACCTGTCGCAAGGCAATATCTACTGTTGTTGAAGAACCTTCTCCAACCTCACCTACGTTTCTCCATAAGGAAACAGCAGTTGTATATTCGTAAGTTCAGGAACTATTTCTGACCTCTAAATGCATTGTTGCATTCTGTTATACCTATTCCGAGAACATTTCGTTCATGGCATCCAAAACTGTTGGCGTTATAATTTCTGACGGCGTACTTTCATATGCTGGTAAAAAATATAGAATCTTGGATTTATAGTGTCATAATAGAACCCCACGTGGCACCAAGCTTTCTTTCTTCTGACTGAGTTTTTAACTGCTCTCTTTTTCCTTCATTGCCACTACCTTTCACTAGATGAAGTTATCTTCTTCCTACCTTTCCTTTGTTCTACTCTTCTCTTCTTCTTGTGGTGTCGCTTTTGGTACTCCCCTTGCTTTCAAGTTGTTGCATCTTTGCCTCATTGTTCACCCCTAAGTATGTTGTACAATTTCCCATTCCTTTTTGCCTTTGGGCTCTCTGGGTGCCCATCTCAGGTAACTATATCCGTAGAAAAGATTTTGTCATAGTTTGTACTTGAGTCTCTTCTGCTCTATTGTTTGCATGACTCTCTTTCCTGGGTTTCCGGTTAAGCTCTTTCAAACAGAGCTTGTCCATTATGGATAAGCTCGTTTCACAAAATATGTTTTTGTAGCCATTCTGGTTTTCTTTCCATGATTACCTAAAATATCTTTGTGACATGGGAAAGCTTATTACCAATGTTTCAAGTTCTTGCGGTCATTTATTCTGTAGTTGGTTTTATTTTTGTCATGGAACATGTTTTTCAATACCAACATCTTCATTTGGTCTGCCCATTTGAGGTTTTCTTAAATAATTCATTCCCCTCTCGAGTTCATTGTCTTGTCAAAGTCAGTTTTTATATGAATTTTGCAAACTTTTCGCTTATGCAATGGTCCCATGTACGAATAGGTTCTCTTTTCTTTACCTTTCGTGGGAGCACCATACATTTTCTCAAAAACTTCAAGCAGTTCTGTTTCAGCAGCTCTCATATCATTTACAAACACAACCTTGACTCTATTGACTGTACTGTCATATCTTTTAGTTATATTAAATGTTCTTCCTATCTTATATCTCTTTGTATTGAAGTCCTTCGGTTTCTGAACGATGTAAAGTAAGCCTTCACTGCAACGTTCAGTATCGAATGAACCATATGTTATGAAATTATATCCAACAACTGGGTCAATCCAGAACAAAACTAGTGGTATAAGACTTTTGTCTATAAGATATGCTCTTGTTCCATGAAATGCTACTGATATCATAAGCTCAGGATTTCTTGTCAAAATTTTCTGAGCTGAAGCATTTCTAACCCAGTCGTGTGCTTTCTTTCCAGATGGAGATAAAATGTCTGACAAAGAATATTTTTTGTATTTCTTTGAGTATCTTACGTTTAAATCACCTATTCTAACCACTTTGGTCTCATTGTCTATCTTTTTAACTGTTTCAAACTCAGTGTTTGTCATTTCCTGTTCTTACATACAAAATAAAAAAAATATTTTAAAAAAACTAGCGTTAATTTTATTTTTTCTATCTTGTATAAAAGATATGATTTCATAGAGTTTTTTTACGATTTTCATAGAGTTTTGGCGACCAGGGTTTTTCACCTACTCGCAATTTTTCACGATTTTCATGTTTTTTTTCACGATTTTCGTACGGAATCTCGTTCCTCGGTTTTCCGCGGGTCGCAATTTTTCACGATTTTCATGAGTTTTTTTCACGATTTCAGGGATTTTTTTACGAAGTGTTAAAGTTCACTTCGTCAAAAAAATACAGTTATATCATGATTTTTGGTCATTTTTTCACGATTTTCATGAGTTTTATGCAAGACCGAAAAAAGTCGGTCTAGAGAAATTTCACGATTTTCATGAGTTTTTTTCACGATTTCAGGGATTTTTTTACGAAGTGTTAAAGTTCACTTCGTCAAAAAAATACAGTTATATCATGAAATTTGGTCATTTTTCCAGCAAAAATATATTTTAGGTGGAACCAGGTCACCAGGTCACCAGGTCAAATGAACTTCTCTTAAAATTACTGACAACATGACATTTTGACAACAACACAGGAAATAGATTTCATCGTAAATGTTTTGTCATGATTTCATCGTCAATGAGCGTAAATCAGACAAAAATGAGTTTTGGTTGAAAAAACAGGTGGAGCCAAAAATGGCTCGACCTCAAAACAAGCATTTTGTGAAGAATATACCAACCCGCGGAATTCCGGCGGTTGCTTTTTTTATACAAAATTCAAGAGTTTTGCGTGTTTTCTACGATGTTGTCAAAATGTCATGTTGTCACCATTTTCAAAAAGATGTTAGTTGACCGAGGGACCGAGGGACCGAGGGACCTGGTCTCACCTAAAATATATTTCAGCACAAAATTCAAGAGTTTTGTGTGTTTTCTACGGTGGAGCCAAAAGTGGTTCGACCTCAAAACAAGCATTTTGTGAAGAATATACCAACCCGCGGAATTCCGCGGGTTGCTTTTTATACAAAATTCAACGGGTGAAAAAACAGTACAAGACTAGTTCTGAGATCTCACCACTTCACCTAAAATATATTTTTGCCGAATTCAATAAAAAGAAATGGTTCATTTACTCACAATATTTTTGTACAAAACGACCCCAAACTTTTAACCTCTCTTCTGCAGCTTCTAATGAAATTTTAGCGAGTTCATATTCTCTAAATTCTCTCTTTAAATCTTCTTGTTCCCATTGGTCTAGTTCGTATGGAGAATCTCTATAACCAGAACATATCTCACGTTCATGTTCTATTTGTTTAAGCACATTTTTTCTAACTTCTTGTTCGAACAAAGGTTTTGCATTCTCTACTGTATCTTCAAGTTCTTCTTCATCTAATTTCTCATGAACTTTCTTGTCTATGGAGTCCAGAATTTTTCCAACTGCTATACAATATTTTGGAGAAGCCCACATTGCTATATAGTTTACGAGTCTTGGGTCTACATACGTTCCTCTAACCTGTTTGATTTCATCCGGAATTCCTGCATGAATTTTGTATAAAAAGCAACCGCCGGAATTCCGCGGGTTGGTATATTCTTCACAAAATGCCTTAAAATACTCTTCCCAGGACTTATTTTCCAACAACCTTCTAAAGTCTTTCCCAAACTGCTGACACATATTTGTTGCATTTATATAACCATCCTTGTCTCTACGTAAGACTTCAATACCGTTGTAAGTGCCTTTTGTGAATGTTTCGCCATTAGATTTGTTCGTGAACGTTTTTGCTTCGACTGTCATTTCAGTACGTACAATAAAAATAAAAAATATTTTTGGGTGGCTTAACCGTCGGACATCCGTTTGTGGCTTAACCGTCGGACATTCGTTTGTGGCTTAACCTCAAAACAAGCATTTTGTGAAGAATATACCAACCGCCGGAATTCCGGCGGTTGCTTTTTTATACAAAATTCAACGGGTGAAAGAATACGACGATGAAGTCTCAACAAAACATTGACGTTCATGTTTGACAAAAACATTGACGATGAAGTCTCAACAAAACATTGACGATGAAGTCATGACAAAACATATACGATGAAGTTTATTTCCTGTGTTGTTGTCTAAATGTCATGTTGTCTCATTTTTTCAGAGAAGTTCATTTGACCTGGTGACCTGGTGACCTGGTGACACCTAAAAAAACATCTACCCTAAAATATATTTTTTCTGTCTTAAGGAAATTCATGAAAATTCACCTGTTGAATTTTATATAAAAAGCAACCCGCGGAATTCCGCGGGTTGGTATATTCTTCACAAAATGCTTGTTTTGAGATCTCACCACTTCACCTAAAATATATTTTTCAGTACTTTTTCAGCACTTTTCCGTAGTTGTATATGAAAGACAATTCGAGATAAAAGTCATAGTACAATGGAATAATATGCTGCACACCGTTTGTTGTGAACCAAACTTGAAAGTCAGAGAAACTGTTACTAGGTGGTTCGTAGAATTTAGAAGCAAAGTCATAAAAGTCCTTACCGATACATAGAAAACTGTTGTTGCTTGAACTGAAACTTGCATGACACATGACATTTTGAGGGTCAAACACGTTTCTATAAACTGTCAAATCTGCTGGTGGAAGTATAAATTTAAATGGACCATCTGGTGGTAATGGTTCGTTCTGGTTTAGTAACCGAAGAAATTGTGCCCAAGAACGTTTGTCTACTCCCCAATATAAAAACTCTGTATCTCTTGGAGGGTTAATTTCAATCTTTTGAAATGAAACGGTGGAGTTCATCTTGTTATATTCTAGTTTCAGATAGTATGTTCCATTTAGTAAAGAGTGGTATTTTTCTTGAAATTCCCAGTAGTATTTGTTTATTTGAGTTTGGAAGTCATTTAGAGTTTTCTCAAGACTTTCGTCTGAACGAATTGTAAAGATTTTCATTTCATCAAATTTTTCTATTAGACCATCAGAACCTTTATACTGACCATGAAAATATACTGCGAACATGAAGGCGTTCGTTCTATTTGAAAACAAAACTCTTCTAAATCCTATTGCCTTTGCATCTGAAGGACTTTGAAGCCAACGAACTGGATAGTCAAACCTGTAAGCCCCGGATGAAATTTCTTCATCTGAAATATTCCTACCGGCATTTGTGAAGATATAGTCTAACGGTTTTGTATCTGCTACTTTTGTTCTTTGTTTTTCAACCTGAAGCATTTAATATATGTAAAAATATATGGTTTTAAAAACGTTTTTACTTCATGCAATGTTTTTATTTCATGCAATGTTTTATTTCTGTGCCGTCTTCAAGTATGCCCCAGTATTTCCTTTTCGATATTACATGAACTTCGGAAAATACCTTATCTAGCTTAAAACAGCCCATCTTTTCACCGACCATTCCCATTTCAATGAGTTTGTTATAGCCTTCTTCGTTCGTCATGAGCGCGTCAATGTTCTCATAGTAAACCAAAACTTTGGATTTGACTTCGGAGAAGAATTTGTTGTAGTTGTCAAGGACTGCCTTTGCGAACTGAGGGTAAGACCAATGTTCGACAATAGGTTTTAATGTGGTTACTAAGCCATTTTGACCTTGAGTGAACTCGTACTTCAAAACAAAAGGAGAAAACCTTTCAACAAAGTTGTCGACCTTCTCATAATGTTTACTCTTCATCTTTTGAGGTTTCTTAATGGAATATCCCCATGTCGAATTCATAAGCAATTTGAGTGTCATTGCAAGTTTGGGGTTTGAAGCTTTCCTAATATCATACAGTTGTTGTATGACTTTTCCAACTGTATAGTTCCTTCCCGGGAACTCACCATCTTCGTTTGGAATTCCAGTCGGAATATATTGGACAAACCTCATGTACGCAGCGTTAAGGTCGACATAGTATATCTTTTCGTTTGAGTCGAACTTGTCGCAACCAATTGGTCCAGTTTGTGGAAATTCAAGTGAGTCTCTTATCTTCTGAGAAACTTCTCCTGTTATCTCATAAACATCGTCGAAGCAACCTGTTTCATATAAAACCTTCTGACCTAACTCAGATGCTCTCCAATACAATTTGACGTCAATTGGATGTCTCAATGGAAGTTTGTTTATAGCATCTTGAAGTTCTTGCAACCTCATTGGAAGTTCTTCTGGTTCAGGTTGGTATCCGAACAAACCAACTCCTTGTGGAATTGTGTACTTCTTTTGTGCTAGAACTTTGTCTGGAACAACTTTTGGTCTTGCTAACAATGAAAAGTTTGTTTCGTCTTTTGGTACAAAAGTTTCTGTCAGCTTGTCATCTGGAATTGGTTCCAACAAACCTTTCTCGAAAAGAATGTTTACAGCTCTGACAATGTTGCACTTGCATTTTCCGAACAATGGGTTTGTAAGACTTTCGTTCAACATGAAGTGGTTGTGGACAATTGCAATCTTCAACCATGGCAAGTCTTTGTCAACAACAAATAGTCGTCATGTGAAGAACCTTTAGCTGTAGGTATGTTGACTCGGATATTGACATTTGCCAACGGTGCAATTTTTGCCAATTGACCTCTGAGAATGTACCTTGTCTTCACACATGACTCAAGATACTTCATCTTCTCATCTGTAACAAGACCAGAGTTCCTGAGACATGTAAGAATGCAAGGTTCGTTGACAATTGTTTCAATTGAATTGTAAATTCCATACCTTGTCAAGTCAATGTCAGACTTATTTATGAACGGGAAGTATCCAGCATGTTGTCTGACTGCTTGAGGGTTAGGTTGGTACCATTCGAACTTGACACTTGCAATTCCTTCAATTGCATTCAAAATGTCTGAGTCGGAGTCAACCATTTGTTCTCTCTTTGTAGTCTTGAAAGCGTCAAGAAGCATTGCAGCTGTTGTGACATTGCCATATGCATAGTAAATGTGACCATCCAAATCTGTTATGGTCAATCTGAGATTGTGTCCTTTCTTATTTCCGTCTTGTATGGCAGCAAGTACACCCATGAAGCCTTCTTTGTTCTTTCCTTCGTCAAAGTTTACTGTAAAGGTTCGACCAGAAGTAATTTGACTTCTAACTTCACGGTACTTCTCATATGCATATCTTGTTCTTTCCATGGGAGCATGTGTGTCTTCACCTTTTCCTTTTTTCCTTCTCAAAGGATGCAATTGTTCGTCATGTTTCCAGTAGAATCTGGCAAAGCCGTCGTGTCCTTCAACTTGAGGTTCACTAACATCGAAAGGCATGTCCATAAGACGTTCTTCTTCTAACCTCTCTAGTCTGTTTGGATAATTTGCACGTGCTGTTTCCAAATCCATTTCGTAGCGAAGACCAGACAATTTGTCATAGACTTTTATGGGTCTTCCCTTCCTATATTTAAACTTCTTCGAAACTCTCCAGCCATATCTTTCTAACTCTGCTTTTATTCTAGCAGACCTTCTGTCCATTCTATGTGGGGGCATTTTTATAAAAATAAAAAAATGTTTTTTTCCTTTACTTTACATAACCGCCCGCTGCCATAAGTCTTTGACGCCAACCCATACCAGCTAATGAAGGTTGACTTGGTTTAGTTTCCAAACTAAACTTTGGTTTTGGTTTATCTTCATTTTTTGGTTTCTCTTCTTCTATTGGTTTTTCGTCACTTTTCGGTTCTGCTGACTTTACCTCACTTGCTGGAATAGTTGTGTCGTCAACATCTTCATAAATATCATATGCCATTTGTTTTTGTTTTCCTTTCAACTTTTTGTGTTTGTTGTAAAGTTTAGAATATTTCGACTCTAAGTCAATGAGATGTTCTATAATGAACTGTTGGTCAGTGAAGTAAACTTTTCCATCTGTTGTCTCATAAACTCCTTCAGACTTCAATATTTTATTTGTGAGAGTCTGTTTCTTTTTTGAGATACTAGCCGTTCCATTTCTATGAAAAGTGACTTTGTAGTTGGGGTTTGTATTTCCAGACCTGGCACTTTCTATTATTGAATTTTTCTCTTCATCTGTAAGTTCTTTGACAGGTTTTGACAATGGTTCTGAACTTTTTGTTTGTGGGGTGAGATCCACGGTTTCAACTTCTTCGGTCATTTCATCTCAGTAAAAAATTTTAGTTTGGTTTGTTTTCAACTGGTTGTTTAGGTTTTTTAAGTCGGTCTAAAACTTCCTGAGGTATAGGAAGAACTTGACAAACACGTTGTGTAACTGCTGGAAGCCGACAAATCCATCTTGAACCCATTTGTCTCAATGCTGTATTGTTCATTTCATCTCAGTAAAAAACTTTACATTCCCCACGTTTGAGGCGGTTGAGGTTGGTTATTGTTTACCCATTGTTGTGCATGGTTATATCCTCTGTTAAAGAATCTTTCACCTTGGTCCATATAGTGTCCTGCTTGGTTATAGTAGTCATTTGCTTTGTTATAATAGTTTCCTGCTTGTCTTCCTACATTGTCCATCCATCCTTGAACTTTTCCTCTTGTTTCAGGATTTGGAATAAGATTTGTTGCATCTCGTGCTACATCCCAACCTTTCTGTACAGTTTGTATAATAGGTTGTGCTTTCTCTTTAAGTATACCTAATGTACTCAAAATCTTCCTTCCAACTCCAAATACACCTCTGGCTATTGTTCCCACTGCGGGCAAAAATCTGGATGCAACTCCTGCTAATGCGCCAAATAAACCCATTTCTTATGGGTTAAAAATGACGAATTCAAACAAGGACCCTATGTTTCTAAAGCGACAAAGAAAGCACTCATGGTAAAAATCTTTAGTTCAACACCAAATGCTTGGTTTATGGATATCTTGGAAAACATTCCGAGAGTTAGAACAGATGGACCACCATACTGGCTAATATTTGTCGGTCAAACACAAGATACTGTGAAGCCATACCATTACAGTCCAAAAATATTTTAGATATCTTAGCAGCTTTGACAATATTCGTTGACAAATACCATCCAACAAAACTAACATCTGACTGTGAAAGTTCTTTCAAATCAGACGATATTAAAAACTATCTGCGTTCAAAAAATGTAAACCAATATTTCATTGTCGACCAAAACCATTCTGCTCTTGGTGTCATTGACGGTTGTATAAAAATGTTAAGAGACTTAAACCAACCACAAGGTGGTGAAGCAAATGAAATGTCATATGACGACAAGTATAGACACTTCTCCATGGCAAAGATGAGACAAGTTTTAAATATTTACAATAGCCGTAAACAAAAAGGTTTGGGAAACCACTCCCCGAAGAAATGAAAAACAACCCTGACTTAGAGAAAGACTATATATTTAATAATTTAGTCAAAAGAGACAAACAAGAAAGAATGCCGGGCTTCAAACTTCAGAAAGGTGACAAAGTAAAAATAGAAATACCTAAACGCGACCCATATGAAAATACTATTGACTATGACAACAATGGGAACCCGACAGGTACTCACGTTCGTGTTCGTAAAAATAGAAGAAAGTATACAAGAGAATATTATGAAGTTTTAGGCAAACATGGCAAAATGTACACACTGCAAGCAGAAGATAAAACTACTATTGCCAGACCTCGTTTCAAACTTGTCAAAGTTCAAGGTGGTATACTTTCAAAGACAGTTCCTAACAAATATAAGACAACTCCTGACGAATATGCTAAAGAAGTGGAACATGACGACTAAGCATTTCTATACCATGCGTAAACTGTCATGTAAGGTGGCATGTAGTCTGTTCCATTTCCTGTAGATGTTGTTGTAAAAGTATGTTGGTGGTTTCCAGTTGTATCTGTCCACATTCCATTCCAGTCTACTGGGTCGTTTGGAAAATGAGATCTTGACATAACTTGAATTTGCATTGAAGTCTGAGAAACAGTGTTATATCCTTGTTTGCAAACCCTATGACTATGGTTTCCATTAGAACTTGTTGTACCAGAATGACTATGTGGTGGCAAGTTGTCGACAGATATCGTTTTACTTCCACCTGTTTCCTTTGAAGAGTTTGCACAATACAAAAACCTGTCGACTATTTGTTCCCATGCACCAACACCAAACATTACTTGAGGACCTCTTGCTTCCATAGATGTATAAATAGAACCTACTGGGTTCATTAAATCAAACATATGAGATATTATAGGATTGTCCCTTTTGAACTTAAAATATAGTGCAACTATTTCAGGTTTCTTCTGGTTTGTGTCAGAATATTTTTTATAATATAATCTTATGTTTTCAGGGTAGGTAAAATCTTGACTATAATATTTATTTTTGTCATCTATATAATAGTATACTATTCTCGTTTTTTCTATTGCATTATATCTTTTATATCTATAATATTCTAAATATAATGTTTGCTTTTGTTCATCTGCGTGTAGTGTTCCGTCTTCAGCACCATAGTCATAATAATATGGTGCCGGAGCTGGGTCAGGCAATGTCATATCTGCCATTTCATAAACTCGGAAATATTTTTTTTGTTCGTCTCCATATAAGTTTAAGTAGCAGTTGTTGTCTAATGGAACTTTAACTTGTGTACCATCGTTCTTTTTATAGCTTACATACATTTCATTGTTATTTTTCGGAATGAGTTTATACCGTATACCATTTTTTAAGGAATGTACAAACTCCCATCTAAAATATTTGTTTTCTTCATAGATAGAAAAGTCACCAACAATAGTTTCAATATTTTTTGTTGTTCCAACTAAACTTTGGTATATTTCATTGACATATGTTTTATCTGCTTTTGTCTCTAATGTTTCTTGTAAGTTTGTAATATTTGCAATGGTATGTGTATGTCCAACGTCACTTTTCCTGTTTAAGGTTTCTTGTAAGTTTGTAATATTTGCAATGGTATGTGTATGTCCAACGGCACTTTTCCTGTTTAAGGTTTCTTGTAAGTTTGTAATATTTGCAATGGTATGTGTATGGTTCTTGTCGGCTTTAAGGTCTAAACATCCTGAAACCCATCCTGTATCGGCTTTAGTTTTTAAAATCTTTGACGTCCATTCATGATACCATTCAACCCTTTCTTTAATTTCATTGTCTTTTTCATCCACATATTCCTTATCTGCCTTCTTCACTAACGCACTAGCCACACATGCTAACTCATCGTCAACATATGTTTTATCTGCTTTCTTTTCAACATCCTCTTTCGTTGCATATGTTGCATCTGCTCTGTCATGTTCTTCTTGAACTTTTTCAATGACATACTCTTTGTCAGCTTTGTTGTCAACATCTGCTTTCAAAAGAAGTTCTTTTATAGGTTTCTCGTTTAAGGTTCCTTTTGTTGGATTTATACAAACAGTATGGTTCTTGTTGTCTTGAAACAGAAACTCATCTGTCATTGGGTTTAATGTCAGTTTTAAGCTTCCTTCTTTCAATGACTCAGATATCTTAGAATAGTTTGAAAAGTTTGTTGTGTTCTTATTTAGAGCTTGTATAATGAGTTGTCGGTTGTGTTGTATTTCTCTCATAGACGCTGTTTCATTTGACATTTTTATTCTAGATAAAATATGCTTCCAATAGAAAAGGAAACTTCTAGAGTTGCTACAACTAAACCATTAGATGAACTTTTTACGAATGTCGGTCAAAAGTTTGAGACAGAGACCGTAAAGCATGAAGGCTATCGTTTTGACTACCCGTTAAGATGGCTAAGAGACCCATCCGTCACAAAAGCTATTGGCTTTCGTAGAATGAAGTTCATTTCAGAAGCCATACATGGTTTCCCATTTACGGTCGGTTTTGAAGTTCGATACTATAACAAAGAAAAACGTACGTATGAGAAATTTGAACAGGGAAAACTTTTACAAGTTAGTTTGCTTGTAAACTTAGAAACAACTCTTCAAGCTTTTCAAGAAAAAATAAACGATATCTATCTCGAATATGCAAAACAGTACAACATTGACGAAGGAGAGTACCATCTCGATATTGTTTATGACAGGAAAAATGCAACTGTTAAAATCAACAGAATAGAAGACCTTGGAGAAAACGTTTATATTTCTACAAAATATAACAACTTGGCATGGTATAGATTTTTGAGGATGTTAAATCAGCCTGCAGAATATCCAGTACACCCGGACTTTTATGAAGTCGAAAACCCTAATGGAACATATGAAAATGTTTTCGACTCAGATGCTATTATCGTTCATGCTTCATTTTCTGGCGCCCAAAACTCTTTTTTATGCTTGGCAAATGACTTTTACGAAAAACCTACAAAGCTATATGAACCACCAAGTGGAAGTATTTCAGACTTTCAAGTATGGTTTACAACAGATGGAAGAAAGAGAATAGTTCCATTATACCATGCGTTTTACTTAGAACTTAGTTTCATATACAACTACTATCGAACGGTAAAAATATAATTTTTTAATACGGTTGAGGTGTTGGATTTGGTTGCCAACTAGACTGTGGTGCAGGTTCAGGCTGTTGTATAACAGGAGCTTGTTCTTCTGGTTCAGGGTCTTTAGGTATAATACCAACGAACTGACCTACTCTTTTACCAATATTTTTGACACCGTTCCAAATTCCTCTTCCGACAGATTTTATTCCATTCCATATACCTCTTCCAACATTTCGAAAGAAGTTTCCAATACTACTGAAGAAACCCATTTTACTATATGTAAAAATCTAATGTCCGCCTAGTCTCTTACGTTTCCTGTTGAGTTCCATAGCATTCTTTAACTGGAGCTCATACATTCTGTTTCTCCTCTGGTAGAAAACATACTCTGGGTCAACTCCTGTGTTCGCGTCATCTGCATAGAGTTGTTTATATCCCACTTCAGGGTTTGTATAAAACTCTTTCCATCTCATATTTGCATACCATGGTGGCAAACCTAACGCAGCGTCATTTGACATGGCAGTTTGCATTTGTACATCTGTTGGCACTTGACCATAGTTTGCCATTGCAGTTTGTATTCTAACTTCATTTGGAATATTCTCTGGGTTTGGTTGTCCAGGTTGCTGTGCATTCGCTAAGTTCTGTGCGTCCATTTAATATTAGATAAAAATATCTCTTACGAGTACATATACTGAACATTTGCAGGCATCGGTTCATCTTCATATTCTCTGTACTTTTCTGCCACGTCAAAGAAATAGATGACACAATGGAAAAAACCTAAAACAAGTAGTCCTATTTCAAACCACATTTACTTACCAATAAAATTTCTTTGTTATGACACTTTCTCCGGTTTATAGGACCTCTCTCATATTCTATCTTGTCATATCTAAACTCATAGTCATGTATGTCCTCTAACCATCTCATAACGGTTTCCAAACCACTTTTATCGGATGTAAAGTAAAAGCATGGACAGTTATGTAAAACGTCTAAAGTTTCTAAAGAGTCTCTCAAAGTCCAGTCTACTTGGTATTGAAAATCCCATGTGTTATAGAACGGCGGGTCCACTATAAAGAAAACATTTTCCTTGTCTTTATATTTTTCATACAACTCTGTCCAATGACATCTCACAAACTCTATACCCTCAGTATATTTTTCTATGTTCTTTTTGAAAACCTTTGTATAGTTAAGATATAAAACTTTTGACATAAGTGTTTCAATGTCATGAACTCTTATAGAACCACTATATAATAGTCTAGCAGATATACTATCCCAGTCTATATATTCTGCTTTTTTCAAAACCTCTCTCACAATATCTTTCTTATCTAATGGTATACTTTCCATCTTACCTATAGGTATCTTTTCTTTCAACTCACTCAATATTTTGTTTGTGTCTGGTATATGTTTGAGACGGTTCATATAGTTGTCGAAGTCATTGCATATAATCTTTGAGTCAGGAAATACAGTATGGCACAAATGGGATATATAGAAACTTCCACCGAACAAATCTACAAATGTTAGACCATTCGGTAGTTTCTTAAGTTCTCTCAATAGAATATCTTTACATCTACTCTTATTTCCAAAGAAGGGTAACGGTGGTTTTGTAAAATTCATTTTATATATATAATAAAAATGTTTTTTCCTGAAAAGTGACAGAAAAGTGACTGGGGCTAGAGGGCACGAAGTGCCTGGAAGCCCCAATACCTTTTTTTTTCATACCAGCTAATGAAGGTTGACTTGGTTTAGTTTGGAAACTAAACTTTGGTTTTGGTTTATCTTCAGTTTTTGGTTTTTCTTCTTCTATCGGTTTTTCGTCACTTTTCGGTTCCTCTGACTTTCTCATATTTTACTTCTAGCAGGCCCTCCTGGATCTGGTAAGACTACTCTTATCCGTATTATTGCAAAACATTGCGGATTTCATACAGTTGAATTAAATGCTTCAGATGATGCATCAGTTGACAGAAATCAAATGATTCTCCAAAACCAACTTAATTTTGAACCCGTTTTTGGAGCAAAAACCAAGCCATTGATGGTTTTTGAAGAATTAGATGGAATTGGAACAATTAGCGACAGTGTTCTGAAGGCGATCACTGGAAATGCTAGCCGTCCAGTTGTCATCATTGTGAACGATGGTTACGCTCAAAGTCTTAAGAATATTCGCTCAATTGCAACTTTCATCAAATTACCACCTCCAAATTCTACGCAATTCAAAGAACGAATAAGATATATTTGCAAGAATGAAGAAATCGATATTTCTACGCAAGCAATTAACGAAGTTGCCGAGATTTCGAAATACGATATTCGCACTGCCTTAAATACCATTAGTTTCTTAAGAGCAAGGCAGCCGATATCAGCAGATACAGTTCATCTCCTTCCTGTTGGCCTGAAGAACTCTTCTCTCACTCCTTTCGACGTTTGGACAACTTTATTTACTGCGAGCAAGTCGTTTAAGGATTGTGCGAACGAAGTTGAGATCTTTGGCAACACAAGACTTATTTCTACCGGTATTCTCGAGAATCTTGAGAATATAAGAAACGCAGATCCGACAAGAAAAAGATTAGTCGAAATGTTCGATAATCTTTGTTACGCTGATGTTCTAGGAGACTCAGAAGCATCAGATATGGCCATTGCAAGCTGTTCCAAGCTTTGTGGTGTTCAAAATGTTGGAAGAAACATCGCATTTCCAACTTCTTCACTCGGATTCGAAGGATCTATGAGGTCAACTGCCAATTCATCGATGCTGAAGAACCCTGTGTTCAGAACTGGCATTGATGTATATCGTAGAATCCTTTGTTTGCCACAAGAACAAATTAATTATGTCATCAATAGGCAAGGAGAGTCATTAAGGAAAAGAATCACTGCTATGCATCAATGCATTAAGATTTCTTATAAGAAGAATGCATTTGGACACTATACTTCCGTTCCTGATGTTGATAATATTATTGGTTTGAATAATTTCTCAATAAATAACTTAACAAAGTACAGAGAATGTATTCAAACTGAGATTGAATCACAGGGATCACTTCTAAAAGAACTTTCCATTACAGGAACTCGTATTCAGGATAAACTTGGCAAATCACAGAGAAGAGATCCAATCAGAAACTTCTGGGGTGAAGAAATGGACTTAACCCAAACTCAGGAAACCCAAAGAAACACAGGTGGCCTCAAATTTACTTATAATGAAGGTTTCACCAACGCTGTAAGAAGAAAAGTCTTGGTTCAGAGAATTTTAATGGTCTAATATATCTTGTTTTTATATCATTATTTTTTTGTCTTTATATTATGAATACGTTATAGAATAAAAGAATTATATTAAACAAGTCTTTTATGATTGAGTTGAAATTTGTTTTTCTATTAAATGGTTTATATCTATGAAATAAGAGATTACAATTGAGAAATGTAGTTCAAAAAAGATTACACTATCGGATTCAGTCTTAAAAAGCATTCAGGTAATTCATAAATAATCAAAAAATGGAAAACAAATAGTTTATATATATAAGAGTTTTGGAACAAAGTCTTCAAAGACTCTCTCAAGTAGTCTTTGAAGACTTTCTTTTTCAATCAAATACTGATTGAAGACTTAGTTTCACATTTGAAGTATTTGTACGGATTTTGTATCTCATGATACTAATAAAGGAATGAGTTTGAATAAAAAAAGTGGCATTTAGTTTACTATTTCTTTTTTCAATATAAAATAATTATATCGGAAAAAGAATTATTAGATATTTGTAGCACCATGTTCAACTAAGAAAGTGATAATACTTGTTGCTTTAATTTTGGTAGCAATACCAAGAGGGCATTCATTAATATCGAAAGGATTTCATAAAATAATGATAAATATGAAGAGAAAGATAATGTTATAATACGATGATAAATATGAAAAGAAAGAGAATACCATAAAACAATGATAAATATTTAAAAAAGGATAATGTAATAAAACAATGATAAATATGAAAAGAAAGAAAATGTAATATAACAATGATAAATATGAAAAGAAAGATAATGTAATATAACAATAATAAATATGAAAAGAAAGAGAATTCTATCAAACAATGATAAATATGAAAAGAGAGAGAATAAGTTTCATGTTAACATCTGCACCATGTTCAACTAGGAATTGAACAATTTCTATTGAATTCGATTTGATTGCAATACTAAGGGGGCATTCATTAATATCGAAAGAATTTGATAAAACAATGATAAATATGAAAAGAAAGAAAATGTAATATAACAATGATAAATATGAAAAGAAAGATAATTAAATAAAACAATGATAAATATGAAAAGAAAGATAATTAAATAAAACAATGATAAATATGAAAAGAAAGATAATGTAATATAACAATAATAAATATGAAAAGAAAGAGAATTATATAAAACAATGATAAATATGAAAAGAAAGAGAATAAGTTTCATATTAACATCTGCACCATGTTCAACTAGGAATTGAACAATTTCTATTGAATTCGATTTGATTGCAATACTAAGGGGGCATTCATTAATATCGAAAGAATTTGATAAAACAATGATAAATATGAAAAGAAAGAAAATTAAATAAAACAATGATAAATATGAAAAGAAAGAAAATTAAATAAAACAATGATAAATATGAAAAGAAAGAAAATGTCATAAAACAATGATAAATATGAAAAGAAAGATAATTAAATAAAACAATAATAAATATGAAGAGAAAGAGAATAAGTTTCATGTTAACATCTGCACCATGTTCAACTAGGAATTGAACAATTTCTATTGAATTCGATTTGATTGCAATACTAAGGGGGCATTCATTAATATCGAAAGAATTTGATAAAACAATGATAAATATGAAAAGAAAGAGAATTCTATCAAACAATGATAAATATGAAAAGAGAGAGAATAAGTTTCATGTTAACATCTGCACCATGTTCAACTAGGAATTGAACAATTTCTATTGAATTCGATTTGATTGCAATACTAAGGGGGCATTCATTAATATCGAAAGAATTTGATAAAACAATGATAAATATGAAAAGAAAGATAATGTTATAAAATAATGATAAATATGAAAAGAAAGAGAATTCCATAAAACAATGATAAATATGAAAAGAGAGAGAATAAGTTTCATGTTAACATCTGCACCATGTTCAACTAGGAATTGAACAATTTCTATTGAATTCGATTTGATTGCAATACTAAGGGGGCATTCATTAATATCGAAAGAATTTGATAAAACAATGATAAATATGAAAAGAAAGAAAATGTAATATAACAATGATAAATATGAAAAGAAAGAGAATTCCATAAAACAATGATAAATATGAAAAGAAAGAAAATGTCATAAAACAATGATAAATATGAAAAGAAAGAGAATTCTATCAAACAATGATAAATATGAAAAGAAAGATAATGTCATAAAACAATGAAAAATATGAAGAGAAAGAGAATAAGTTTCATGTTAACATCTGCACCATGTTCAACTAGGAATTGAACAATTTCTATTGAATTCGATTTGATTGCAATACTAAGAGGAAACTCATTAATATCGAGAGAATTTTATAAAACAATGATAAATATGAAGAGAAAGAGAATGTCATAAAACAATGATAAATATGAAAAGAAAGATAATGTAATATAACAATAATAAATATGAAAAGAAAGAGAATGTGATAAAACAATGATAAATATGAAGAGAAAGAGAATTCTATCAAACAATGATAAATATTTAAAAAAGGATAATGTAATAAAACAATGATAAATATGAAAAGAAAGAAAATGTAATATAACAATGATAAATATGAAAAGAAAGATAATGTCATAAAACAATGATAAATATGAAAAGAAAGAAAATGTAATAAAACAATGATAAATATGAAAAGAAAGAAAATGTAATATAACAATGATAAATATGAAAAGAAAGATAATGTCATAAAACAATGAAAAATATGAAGAGAAAGAGAATTCTATCAAACAATGATAAATATGAAAAGAGAGAGAATAAGTTTCATGTTAACATCTGCACCATGTTCAACTAGGAATTGAACAATTTCTATTGAATTCGCTTTGATTGCAATACTAAGGGGGCATTCATTAATATCGAAAGAATGTCATAAAACAATGATAAATATGAAAAGAAAGAAAATGTCATAAAACAATGATAAATATGAAAAGAAAGATAATGTCATAAAACAATGAAAAATATGAAGAGAAAGAGAATTCTATCAAACAATGATAAATATGAAAAGAAAGATAATGTAATATAACAATAATAAATATGAAAAGAAAGATAATGCCATAAAATAATGATAAATATGAAAAGAAAGAGAATGCCATAAAACAATGAAAAATATGAAGAGAAAGAGAATTCTATCAAACAATGATAAATATGAAGAGAAAGAGAATTCTATCAAACAATGATAAATATGAAAAGAAAGATAATTAAATAAAACAATAATAAATATGAAAAGAAAGAAAATGTCATAAAACAATGATAAATATGAAAAGAAAGATAATTAAATAAAACAATAATAAATATGAAAAGAAATAGATCATGAATTTTGTTGATATCTTCTCCATTAGAAAGTAAATAAGATGCAACATCATAATTTCCGAAATGCATATTTTCTGCTATTGAATCGGGAGTTTGTCCAAAATTTGATTGAAGGTACTCAACAATTTCATAGTGTCGATAATTCAATGCTTTATTAATCATGTTATCAAATGATTTACCTTCTTCTATCATTTGCATAAAAATGTTTTGATTTCCGCCTTGAACAGCATATTTTTCGGAGTAATCAGTGTATTGAGCTCCTAAATTTTTCAAGTAATTGAAACATAATTCTGAGCCATATTTAATTGCACAATCAAGTGGTGTGATTTTATTACTCTCCTGATTAATATCAAGGTTTGGGAATTTACTCTTAAGATCATCAATTTTATCCCATGCAATATAGTATAAAGGAGAATCTGTTGAATATAAATTCAGAATTTCTTCTTCTTTTATTTTAGGTTTGAAGTTTTCAAATTTGAAGCCTTGATAATGTAGAAGTGTCGCCAATTTCTCATTATCTGGTTTATTGATGTATGAAAATGCGTTTGATATCTTTTGGTAAAGTTCTGAAAATAATTTAATTTCTTTATCACGAATTTGTGAAAAAACATCAATCAAACGAAGCGCCATTTGGATAGTTATTTTGTTGGTTGTTATTAATTCGATAATTTGCGAAGATAATTGTATAATATTATTGGAATTGATGCCCCAAATAATTTTTGATGCTTGATCTGGGTATTCGAATACCTTAATTGGCTTAAGGTCACTGTAATTGCACCAATTTTCTTTTTTTGGCTGCTGTGAACTTGTCATGCTTTTTAAAAAATTTGACTAGCCAAAACTCACTTCACTGAAATACCCGGAAAAATTTGTAAAAAATTAGTCTGTGACACTTTATGTCTTAAAAATGTGAGTTAGAGAGAAAGAATTTTGAATTATTGATGTTTCCGAGCAATGATTCCACAAGAAAACTTATTAAAATTTGTTCTGTGTATAACACCTCATTAAACTACAAGTGTAAACAATTTGCAAATGTAAAGTACAATTTAGAATCATTCGTGAATCTGGAATTTTATAGCATACGATTATTTTTCCATTGAAAAAAATTCGCCAAAAACTTGATATATGTAATCTTTGTTATGTATTCTTTATATAATTTTTTTTCAATAAAAATAATCGTACACTACAAAATTATAAATTTAGAATCAGTTGTGAATCTGGAATTTTGTTGCATACGATAATTTTTCTATTTAATCTCCCTAAAAATGGCCTGAAAACGTATTAGCTAATACAAGCAAGGTTAGCTAATGAATCTATCCATATAAAATTCATGTCTAATCTTGTTTGCAAAGCGAATAAGCTTCAGTTCTCATATGAGTGTCAAAAAGGTGAGGATATAATAGGGAGAGTATCACCGAGTCACCCAGCTTAGTTCACTTTTTGATGGGAAATAACCGTTTTTCACCAAAACATTTTTTTTCACCAAAAAAATGGGTACGTTATATACAAAAATAATTGTACACTTCAAAATTCCTTATAGATTCACCTCTGAATTCCAAATGATAGTTTTGTAGCATTTTTTAAAAAAATGCTACAAAATTAACATCATTCTTCCAAAAATTGAGTTTCACTCAATTTTTGGAAGAATGATTGGAATTTTATTATGAATACATGTCTGTCACTTTTTAAGGATGCATTACTTTTTGTAAAATGTCAGTCACCCATCTCTCCCGTGAAATTTTTGAGGTTTTTCGCTTGCATTTGATAATCTTTCACTTAATGATTATGCATGGTTTACACGCAAATCGCATCATTCTCTATGCGTTCGCTATGAATATGGACAGATTTTTATAAGTTCATGTGTTGATTTTTGTGCTAAAGGTGTATTAGTTGCTTGAACTAACCGGATCTCTGAATCTTTAATAATTTCACCAATGTTATTTAAAACATCATGTGACTTCTTTAAAAATTGCATATAAATTTTAGAAAACGCAAATTGAGAATCATGCAAATATTTTTACGGAAAAGCAAATTGAGAATCATGTGCCGTTGTAGAGATTGAAATGAAATGTTTTGTAATGTCACTTTTTATTGCGATGACACACAAGGTAACTTTTGATCAAAGGATGGAAGAATTTGCAATCACCACGAACCGTGGTTTTATGATTTACGAATTCGCAACCGGAACATTGCTTTATGAAGCAATGTTTCCAGGAGGCGGCGCACTTTGCATTTCTCTTCTTTCAGACTCGAATGTTATCGCATGTTGTGGAGATGACTCTCGCGAGGGATTCTCTGCCAACACAGTTGTTATATGGGATCGTAAAGATAACAAAGTTATTGGTCTTTTCCAAGTTGAAAATAAGATATTAGACTTAAAATTCAAATTAGATTACATTATCGTTGCTCATGGAACCAAGATTTCATTTCACGACAGCTTCGATTTTACAGAAAAACTAATGTGCACAAATCCGATCCAAGATCAGCTTGCTTTTGCTATTGTCCCATCAAGCACGATATATTATACAGCATTACCAGCAAAGAATTCGAAATCAATACAGATTATAGATTATCACGATCCGAATTACGTTCTTGGCATAATTCCAATAAATGTAACAAAAGTGAACTGCGTTGCTTTCGATCGCAAGGGCGAGCTAGTGGCAATCGTTACCGATGAAGGCAAGAATATTCAGCTCTGGGATGTTTATGAATTGAAACTCGTAGCTACATATAAGCGCGGCATGCGCTCATGCAATGTTACTGGTATTGACTTCGACAGCTTGTCATCTTTCTTCATTATGACTACTTTAAGAGGTACATTGCACGCATTTGCAATTCCGACACCCAAAGAAAGAGAAACAATAGATCCTAAGTCACCAATGCGATCTAAGTTCAGCTTCGAAATTCCAAAAGGCATCAACTTCCACTGCCGTTTCGATTTAGCCGGTTATATGATAACTGGCATTTCCGAAAACGGCGCATTCAGGAAGTTCAGACTTGATATCGAAAAGAATCAAATTGTTTCTGAATCAGAACTCCAACTTAGTTTATAATATTTATTTCTTATTATTATAAAAACTATGCAGTAAGTATTAACTTTCATTGGTGTTTACTCCCCTAAAGATTGTTCTCGTTTAAAATCGATAAAAAAAAATAAAATAATTTTTTTTACTCCATGAATTTCATAAAAATAAAACTCAATACTTTCATATTTTGCTCGTTTTCACGATAAATATTTCTTGGTTTTAGATAAATTGTTAAATTAAATCAAATTGATATATAATACTTGATATACATGCAATTCTCCAACCATAATGACAAACAATCTTGTGTAGTATAATTATAAGAGTATTTTATGTTCTAGAAATAATATTATAGCATTAAATTGAATATGATTTTGTTGAAGTTCATGATTTATCAATTGAAATTATTCAAAATAGATCATGATTGATCCATAGAACTATGATGCTATGTATTTGAGGGGAGATCGTTATTAATTTTGATGAAATTTTTCGTTTTTACATCAAAATTGAGGTAAAAATAATCGTTTTCAAATGTCTCAAACTCTCACTTCAGAGATTGTACTCAAAAAGACAAAGAATGATTCACTTAACTCTGTTAAGAATCTAAACTTGTGGGGCTACAGTCTCAAGGATATCTCAGAAATAAAGAATTTACCAAATTTGGAAACTTGCGCTTTATCAGTTAACGAAATAGATAGTCTCGAACCATTTTCACACTGCAAGCACCTTCAAGAACTCTTCCTTCGTAAAAATAAAATTGCCGAATTTCAACAATTAAAATACTTAATGGAATTACCAAATCTTAAAGTATTATGGCTTTCAGATAATCCAATTACAAACCTCGATGACTACAGATTATTTACAATTGCTCTTCTTCCAAATCTTACAAAATTAGATCAAGTAGACATCACAGAAGAAGAAAGACAAGCAGCTCGTCAAAAGTTCCCTGATCCGGTTTCAAAATTATCTTCTCCTGAACCAGAACCAGCTGCTCAAGAAACACCAGAACAAGAAGCAGCTTTGAACGCAATCAGAGCTTTATTGCCCCATATGGGACCAACAGAGCTTACCGCACTTCGTGCTGCTGTTATTACAGCTCGTACAAAGAAATAATTTAAATTATCCATAATTACTTGTATACTTATTCAATGCAATCATCATATTTACGAAAAAAAAGTTGACTGTGTTATTTAAAAACAAATTATTTTTTTTATATAAAAATATTAACTGGTAACTATATCCTTGCACGCGCTAATTGATATCTCTTAGAAATTTTATGAACATGTTACTTAGAATGAAGCCTAAAATAATAAATACCGATATCAATAAAAACTAAAATGCTATATTTTTAGTAATATTCTACTGCATAATTGATTTGTAGATCATGGAGATATATATTATGCAATTTAATCAGAAAAATAAAACCTCCTCTAAAAATTTAAATAACGGATTTTAGAACATTCAAATGGCTGACGAACTCAAGCTCTGTTCAACTATTGGTTTCTCTGGTCAAGTAGCAGGAGGCCTTATAGCACATCCAGACAACAAGCATATTATTTATCCACTTGGCTCAATTCTCGTTGTTATGGAGAAGGGAAAGGCTGCAACCCAGCGTTTCCTTACAGGACATACAAGCGAGATCACAGCAATTGCTGTTTCCCGCTCAGGCCACTACATTGCATCTGGCCAGTATTCAGCAATCGATCAGGAGTCTACACTTATTCTTTGGGACTTCGATAAGATGGCTCAAGTCGCAAAATGGACAATGCACAAGGACTCAATTCGTTGCTTATCATTCTCCATGTCCGACAAGTACCTTGCTTCCCTTGGTGGCGATGATAGAATCGTTATTTGGGACGTTGCTCGTCGCGCTGGCCTTAATGGCTCAACAGCCACAATTGGCTCAACAGGTGGATGCAACTGCGTCGGATTTTCTAACAACGACGATCAATTCTTCGTTTCTGCGGGTGATACAAACGTCCGTTTCTGGAGAATTGATGAAGAGCGCCGCAATTTCACAGCAGACAACATGAAGCTCGATATTACAAAGCGTAACGTTACAGCACTTTCTCTCGATGCTAACGATACATACGTATATTGCGGAACTACAACTGGTGATGTTCTTAAGGTCCACTGCGAGCAGAAGAAGCTCATCACAGTCGGCCCACGCAAGCCAATTGGCGAAGGCATCACAGCTCTTCAAGTTACTCCATGGGGAGATATCGCCGTTGGTTCTGGCTGCGGCCGTGTAGCCATCCTTGATGCTGGCGACCTCCATGCCATCACAGGAACAGATCTCCAGGGCCGTGTTACATCAGTTTCCGTTGTTCCAAGAACAAACTCCGAAATTCTTTGCGGCACCTCCGAATCCGACATCTGCTCCATCAACACAGATACATTCAAGGCCTCCATCCTTTCTAAAGGCCACTCATCCGCCATCTCAGATGTATTCTTCCCAGAACGCTCTTCAGACATGTTCCTTACCTGCTCATCCGGTGGCTTCCACGTCTGGAACAGTCGTACATACCAAGAACTCCTCCGTGTCTCTCTCGCCCGTTCCGAATGCAACTGCATCGCCGTCCCAGCCGATGGCAAGATCATTCTTACAGGCTGGAGCGATGGCCGTATCAGAGGCTACGCTCCACAGTCCGGCCGCGAGCTCTGGGTCATCAACGGTGCCCATCTTAACGGTGTTACAGCAATTGCAGCACGTGGTTCATTCATTGTCACAGGCGGCATGACAGGCGACATTTCTATTTGGGAACTCGGCGCCAAGAACATGCATCTTGTCAAGACACTCAAGGAGCACCACCAGATGGTCTCTCAGATCAAGTTCTCACGCGATGGAAACGAGTTCTGGTCATGCTCACACGATGGCTCCGTCATCATTTGGGATGCAAACCGCGTTGTTTCTCGCCAGAGATTCATGCAACAGGCTTTCTTCAATGGAGCTGATGTCCACACAGAAACAGGCATTCTCGTTACAGTTTCTTCTGATAAGAGAATCGTATTCTGGGATGGCTTCAACGCTTCAATCATCCGTGAGCTCGAAGCTTCCGTCAACGCACAGCCAAATTCAATCTGTTTGTCTCCAGACGAAACAAAGTTCGTAACAGGAGGTGATGACAAACTCGTAAAGGTTTGGGGATTCCAGACAGGCCAGCTCGAAGCTCTAGGTAAGGGCCACTGCGGCAACATCAAGAAGGCAATCTACTCTCCTGACCAGTCAATCATTGTTTCTGTTGGCGCTGAGGGTGGCATTTACATTTGGAAAATGAAATAAGTCTGAATAATTTTTATATTTTTTTTAAAACATTTTTTCCAAATTTTATTTTGATAAATTAACAATCTTCTTAACGTTGATAATCTTTTTTATTACATCTATAAGGATAACAACAAAGAACTTTTACGTTCATTAATGGTTAAAGATATCTGAACTGTTTTGGCGGTTAATCTCATATAAAAATTTATTTGGTTCCTTCAAATTGAAAAACTTATAGTCATCATATCCAAATTGTTTGATTCATTTAGCTGATTTGAGTATAAAATGAGAACAAAAATTCGATCTGATTGCTTTACCAAAATAGAAATATTTCTGAAAGTTCTGAAAATTTCATTTGGTATTTAATTCAATAGTATTGAATTTATTTACCAACATGAAATTGTTTTCATAGATTCTTCTTAGAGAAATGAATGCGAAAAACATTTGTTCTGATCATACGTTTAATATTATCATTTTTCATGGAAAAGTCCATCTCTATTGAACTAAAGCAGCTGTGTAAAGGTCAAAATGATGTCTTTGACACATTATTCAGGTTAAAAACATCGAATAATGATGATATCAACCAGATCTTTGAGGAGCTGAAAAGTCAATATATCGAGGCAAAAAGGATCTCTCCACACAAGATTATTGAAACAATCTTCACTGCAGCTAAATACAATAATCGCTACACAAAGTCATATTGGGAACTATTCAAAAAGGTATATAATGAATATCATCCAACTCAAACCATAATGATTGATCTTGCATTTGACTATTTTGTTCATAAAGAGTATGGAATATTTTTATATAAGGACCATAAAGAAAGTATTGAGGAATATTATCAGTTCCAATCCAACAATTATTCATTAAATGTTCATGAAGAAGGTACAATTTTCAGAGCAATAATGGAAGATAATAAAGATTCACTGATATCTTTTACAGAAAAGAATGATTTTGATGCAGAGGAAAGAATAGAAAATCCATTCTATCCTGATCCATATCACCTATATTCATTGCTTGAATTATGTTGCTATCATGGGTCTGTTGTATGTTTTAAATTCTTAAGAACTAAATTCAACTTAGAAATCACACCTATTTGTCTTCAGTATTCATTTTTGAGCGGAAATACGCACATAATCAGTGAATGTTTGAAAGTTCAAAAGCCCAGCAAAGAATGCATGAAATATGCTATCATCTCCCATGAGATTGAAAAGGTTATATTTTTAATGAATGATTACGAAACGAAAATCAAATTGGATGATTGTGTGGAATATAATAATCTTCTAGCATTTTTGGCTTATTTTGATCAAAACAAAAGTATTGACGATTGCTTTGCTGTTTCACCATCTTTCGGCCTCAAAAGCATTTGTAAATATTTATTAGACCATGGTGCCGATATAAATGCCAAAGATTCCCACATGAAGACAGCACTTCATTATGCAGCCGAATACAATAACGCTGTAATAGCAGAACTCTTAATTTCGCGTGGGGCAGACATTGAATCCACAGACTCTCGTGCAAATACCTCGCTTATTTGGGCATCACAATATAATAGTAAAGAAGTGGTAGAAATTCTTCTTTCTCATGGCGCTACAATCACTAAGTCAACAGCGCTACAATCATCACCTCTCATTACAGCAGCTTCTTATAATAGCAAAGAAACTGCAGAAGTGCTAATCTCTCATGGAGCTGATGTAAATGAAGCAGATGATGGACAAAAAACTCCTCTTCACTGGGCAGCAATGTGTGAGAGCCCCGAAACAGCTGAATTACTTATTTCCCATGGAGCTGATATCAATTTATTAGCACAGGGAATCCCACCTATCCAATATGCAGCGGATCAGGGCAGTATTGGTATGGTTAAAGTTCTTGTTTCACATGGAGCAGATGTCAATTTCACTGAAGATGATGGTTTTACACCCCTTCAAGCTGCAATTTACCGAAACAACAAAGCAATGGTAGATGTTCTTATCTCCCTCGGCGCCCAAGTTACCGATGATATCAATAAATCTCTTGAAAACATGAATGATTACGATTATGATTGAATTAAATATTTTCAAGTTTTCCAATTCCAATAAACAAATTTAATTATATTATCTAAGAGTTGAATCTTTTATGTCATTTGAAAGTGGTTGTCTATTATAAGGATTAGAAGATCGACAATTTTCATTAACATTCAAAAGTGTTAAAATCATTTTTATGTTGACATAATAGATTTAATTTCCTCTGATTCAATAAATAATTGGTTTGAATCCCATTGATATTCTTCGTATTTCATATTTACCCTCATTATTATTGGATTCGAGCATTAATTTGCTGATATATGTAATAAACAGAAATTCATCAAAAGTGACAGCTCTCAATTTTTTGACATTTGTAAATTCTAAATTGAATGAGAAAAATGAAATAATACTAAGCATAATACAATATTCTAGATTTAATTATAATTAGGAAAAAGTTAGTTTTGAGAGTACTTTTCATAGGCATATAGAATGAAATCTTCTGAAAAATAATATCACATAAACTCATATTATTTTCTAATATATAACTATTTTATATAAAAATCAAATTCAATGATCTTAAAAGCGAAGGATAAACCTCAAAATTTACGAATATAATGAGTGGGAATATAATGCTTATCTATCATAAAACCATATGAAATATCAATTTTTGCTTTACGCCTAATTTTTGACGACAATTAGCAAAAAATGTTAAATGTTAACACTCAGTCCATTTGAATATGAAAAATAAAATTGACTTTGATTAAATGTTTTTATTTATCATGCAATTCTTCTTACGACCAAAGATTTGAATAAAATTTCAAAAAATAAGATAGCTTAAAAAATAATATACGGTAGTGTTTACTAATAGATGAATAGTATATAAATTCTATTAAAATGGATTTGATCCAAAAAAATATAAAACCAAAAATAATTGTTATAATTTAAATGAAGAAGTAATTTAAAACGATTTTATTTATGATCAAATTTTATATATTTTTTTGGATCAAATCCATTTTAATAGAATTTATATACTATTCATCTATTAGTAAACACTACCGTATATTATTTTTTAAGCTATCTTATTTTTTGAAATTTTATTCAAATCTTTGGTCGTAAGAAGAATTGCATGATAAATAAAAACATTTAATCAAAGTCAATTTTATTTTTCATATTCAAATGGACTGAGTGTTAACATTTAACATTTTTTGCTAATTGTCGTCAAAAATTAGGCGTAAAGCAAAAATTGATATTTCATATGGTTTTATGATAGATAAGCATTATATTCCCACTCATTATATTCGTAAATTTTGAGGTTTATCCTTCGCTTTTAAGATCATTGAATTTGATTTTTATATAAAATAGTTATATATTAGAAAATAATATGAGTTTATGTGATATTATTTTTCAGAAGATTTTGTGTTCTTCTTCAAAATTTTATTTTTTATTAAAAAGAATCTTTACAAAATATACATTTATTTTAATTAATATTTAAAAACGTGCTCTATCAAAAGTTCCAAAAATTCAATATTTTAGCTTTTCTGAGGTGTCACTTTTGATGAATTTCTGTTTACAACATATATAGTTTAGAGTAAAGAAATAGAATCATATTCTGTGGATTATGTTCGAGTTTAATTTTTCAGAACTGAATGCGTCAGTTTAAAATTTCTTTGTCACTTTTCTGAAACGTATGAATAAAGATCCATTCGAGTCTTCAACAGGAAATACCAAAATCTCGAATGATTACAATGTTAAAGCAATCCCTATCACTACATTTAGTGGTGAACGCGTTTCAATCCCGAAATATGATTGTTTTCCTAAATATATCGAACGTTTTGAAAAAATCGATATGAAAATTCCAGAACTAATACCACCCAAGCCAATTGAAGAGATTAATGTATCAGAAACAAACTTAATTAATGAATACACACCAAAAACCTACACAGATTTAATTTCAGACGAAAGAACAAACAGACAAGTTCTCGAATGGATGAGGCATTTCCAAAATGCAAAAAGTGAGCGCAAGAAACCAAAGAGAACAAAGAAATTAGTTGATTTGACGAAAAACTCGAAATTTGAGCAGCCAACTATACAGCTTTCTCATATTTTACTTCTAGCAGGCCCTCCTGGATCTGGTAAGACTACTCTTATCCGTATTATTGCAAAACATTGCGGATTTCATACAGTTGAATTAAATGCTTCAGATGATGCATCAGTTGACAGAAATCAAATGATTCTCCAAAACCAACTTAATTTTGAACCCGTTTTTGGAGCAAAAACCAAGCCATTGATGGTTTTTGAAGAATTAGATGGAATTGGAACAATTAGCGACAGTGTTCTGAAGGCGATCACTGGAAATGCTAGCCGTCCAGTTGTCATCATTGTGAACGATGGTTACGCTCAAAGTCTTAAGAATATTCGCTCAATTGCAACTTTCATCAAATTACCACCTCCAAATTCTACGCAATTCAAAGAACGAATAAGATATATTTGCAAGAATGAAGAAATCGATATTTCTACGCAAGCAATTAACGAAGTTGCCGAGATTTCGAAATACGATATTCGCACTGCCTTAAATACCATTAGTTTCTTAAGAGCAAGGCAGCCGATATCAGCAGATACAGTTCATCTCCTTCCTGTTGGCCTGAAGAACTCTTCTCTCACTCCTTTCGACGTTTGGACAACTTTATTTACTGCGAGCAAGTCGTTTAAGGATTGTGCGAACGAAGTTGAGATCTTTGGCAACACAAGACTTATTTCTACCGGTATTCTCGAGAATCTTGAGAATATAAGAAACGCAGATCCGACAAGAAAAAGATTAGTCGAAATGTTCGATAATCTTTGTTACGCTGATGTTCTAGGAGACTCAGAAGCATCAGATATGGCCATTGCAAGCTGTTCCAAGCTTTGTGGTGTTCAAAATGTTGGAAGAAACATCGCATTTCCAACTTCTTCACTCGGATTCGAAGGATCTATGAGGTCAACTGCCAATTCATCGATGCTGAAGAACCCTGTGTTCAGAACTGGCATTGATGTATATCGTAGAATCCTTTGTTTGCCACAAGAACAAATTAATTATGTCATCAATAGGCAAGGAGAGTCATTAAGGAAAAGAATCACTGCTATGCATCAATGCATTAAGATTTCTTATAAGAAGAATGCATTTGGACACTATACTTCCGTTCCTGATGTTGATAATATTATTGGTTTGAATAATTTCTCAATAAATAACTTAACAAAGTACAGAGAATGTATTCAAACTGAGATTGAATCACAGGGATCACTTCTAAAAGAACTTTCCATTACAGGAACTCGTATTCAGGATAAACTTGGCAAATCACAGAGAAGAGATCCAATCAGAAACTTCTGGGGTGAAGAAATGGACTTAACCCAAACTCAGGAAACCCAAAGAAACACAGGTGGCCTCAAATTTACTTATAATGAAGGTTTCACCAACGCTGTAAGAAGAAAAGTCTTGGTTCAGAGAATTTTAATGGTCTAATATATCTTGTTTTTATATCATTATTTTTTTGTCTTTATATTATGAATACGTTATAGAATAAAAGAATTATATTAAACAAGTCTTTTATGATTGAGTTGAAATTTGTTTTTCTAAGTAGTATATGAGTACGGGTTGTGTGACTTTTTTTGTAAACGTAAGAATTCATACAATATTGAACGATTTTGTATCATTTTTTTTACATATGAAGTAAAAAATGTATGATTCTTACGGTTTTTATTCTTACGAGGTCAGGTAAGTGGGGCTTCCAGGGGCTGCGCCCCTTCTAGCCCTAAGAAATTTTGCCCAAGACCCAAGAGGAGGACCGAACCCCAGCCGACCAGCCGGTGACAAAACCAAAACCGTTGTTATTTACATCATATTAATGATGTCACTTTTAATATGTCACTTTTATGTCACTTTTCACAAATTATATATGTTTTCATGCTTTGTCACTTTTCTGTCACTTTTCGGGTAAAAACATTTTTATTATTATATATAAATGAATTTTACAAAACCGCCGTTACCGTTCTTTGGAAATAAGAGTAGATGTAAAGATATTATATTGAGAGAACTTAAGAAACTACCGAATGGTCTAACATTTGTAGATTTGTTCGGTGGAAGTTTCTATATATCCCATTTATGTCATACTGTATTTCCTGACTCAAAGATTATATGCAATGACTTCGACAACTATATGAACCGTCTCAAACATATTCCAGACACAAACAATATATTGAAAGAGTTAAAAGAAAAGATACCTATAGGTAAGATGGAACGTATACCATTAGATAAGAAAAATATTGTGAGAGAGGTTTTGAAAAAAGCAGAATATATAGACTGGGATAGTATATCTGCTAGACTATTATATAGTGGTGCTATAAGAGTTCATGACATTGAAACACTTATGTCAAAAGTTTTATATCTTAACTATACAAATGTTTTCAAAGAGGACATAGAAAAATATATTGAGGGTATAGAGTTTGTGAGATGTCATTGGACAGAGTTGTATGAAAATATAAAGACAAGGAAAATGTTTTCTTTATAGTGGACCCGCCGTTCTATAACACATGGGATTTTCAATACCAAGTAGACTGGACTTTGAGAGACTCTTTAGAAACTTTAGACGTTTTACATAACCATCCATGCTTTTACTTTACATCCGATAAAAGTGGTTTGGAAACCGTTATGAGATGGCTAGAAGATATAAACGACTATGAGTTTAGATATGACAAGATAGAATATGAGAGAGGTCCTATAAACTGGAGAAAGTGTCACAATAAAGAAATTTTATTAGTAAGTAAATGTGGTTTGAAATAGGACTACTTGTTTTAGTTTTTTCCATTGTGTCATTTATTTATTTGACGTGGCAGAAAAGTACAGAGAATATGAAGATGAACCAATGCCTGCAAATGTTCAGTATATGTACTCGTAAGAGATATTTTTATCTAATATTAAATGGACGCACAGAACTTAGCGAATGCACAGCAACCTGGACAACCAAACCCAGAGAATATTCCAAATGAAGTTAGAATACAAACTGCAATGGCAAACTATGGTCAAGTGCCAACAGATGTACAAATGCAAACTGCCATGTCAAATGACGCTGTGTTAGGTTTGCCACCATGGTATGCAAATATGAGATGGAAAGAGTTTTATACAAACCCTGAAGTGGGATATAAACAACTTTATGCAGATGACGCAAACACAGGAGTTGACCCAGAATATGTTTTCTACCAGAGGAGAAACAGAATGTATGAGCTCCAGTTAAAGAATGCTATGGAACTCAACAGGAAACGTAAGAGACTAGGTGGACATTAGATTTTTACATATAGTAAAATGGGTTTCTTCAGTAGTATTGGAAACTTTTCAGAAGAGTTGGAAGAGGTATATGGAATGGAATAAAATCTGTCGGAAGAGGAGTATGGAACGGTGTCAAAAATATTGGTAAAAGAGTAGGTCAGTTCGTTGGTATTATACCTAAAGACCCTGAACCAGAAGAACAAGCTCCTGTAATACAACAGCCTGAACCTGCACCACAGTCAAGTTGGCAACCAAATCCAACACCTCAACCGTATTAAAAAATTATATTTTTACCGTTCGATAGTAGTTGTATATGAAACTAAGTTCTAAGTAAAACACATGGTATAATGGAATTATTCTTTTTCTTCCATCTGTAGTAAACCATACTTGAAAGTCTGAAATACTTCCACTTGGTGGTTCGTATAACTTTGTAGGTTTTTCGTAAAAGTCATTTGCCAAGCATAAGAAAGAGTTTTGGGCGCCAGAAAATGAAGCATGAACTATCACAGCATCTTGGTCGAAAACATCTTTAAATAAATATGGTTCATCTCTTGCATATCGACTGTAGATATTTGCTAAAGGAAGTTCGACTTTCTGATTTAACATTCTTTGCAAATAATACCATGACATTGCAGTGAATTCTGTATATATTTGTTCGTCTTTCTTTGGATTGTCTTCGTAGATTTGAAATGACACTTGTGAATTTTGTTTGTCATATACAATTCTCACATAAAGTGTGCTCTCGGTATTTGCATATTCATCAGCATATTTTGCATAACATGAATTTATTTTATCTTCTATATTTTTTAACGCAGTCTGTAGAGAAGATGAAAGGTCAACTTGTATTAGCTCAATTTCTTCCCACATTTTTCGTTTCCCTTCAGATATATAATCTATATGAAACCTTACAATAAATGGAAAACTTTTATCTTCTACAGACACAAACTTTATTCTACGAAAGCCAATAGCTTTTGTGACAGATGGGTCTCTTAACCATCTTAATGGGTAGTCAAAACGATAGCCTTCATGCTTTACGGTCTCTGTCTCAAACTTTTGACCGACATTAGTAAAAGTTCATCTAATGGTTTAGTTGTAGCAACTCTTGAATTTTCTTTTTCTATTGGAAGCATATTTTATCTATAATAAAAATGTCGAAAGATATTGATTCCATAAGAGAAATACAACACAACCGACAACTCATTATGCAAGCTCTAAATAAGAACACAACAAACTTTTCAAACTATTCTAAGATATCTGAGTCATTGAAAGAAGGAAACTTAAAACTGACATTAAACCCAATGACAGATGAGTTTCTATTTCAAGACAAGAAGAACAATACTGTCTGTATAAATCCAACAAAAGGAACTTTAAACGAGAAACCTATAAATGAACTTCTTTTGAAAGCAGATGTTGACAACAAAGCTGACAAAGAATATGTAGACGATGCAATAGCAAAAGAAGAAGAAAGAGCTAACAATGCTTATGCAACAAAAAGAACATACTCATCCTGAACTAGCAGAAAAACATATGTTGACAATAAAATGTCAAGTGAAGTGACAAGAGCTGAAAACGAATATTCTAAAAAGACTCATATACATTCTATATCTGAAATAACAGACTTAAACGTTAGCCTTGAAAAGAAAGCAGATGAGGAATATGTGGCTAGTAAGTTAGAGAAGAAAGCAGATAAGGAATATGTGGATGAAAAAGATAATGAAATTAAAGAAAGGGCTGAATGGTATCATGAATGGACATCGAAGATTTTAAAAACTAAAGCTGATACAGGATGGGTTTCAGGATGTTTAGACCTTAAAGCAGATAAAACTTATGTTAACGATGTGTTAGAGAAGAAAGCAGATAAGAACCATACACATAAATCCTTCACTACTGTTAGAGCAGACGACATAATACTGAACTTTGACCTTGGTTCAAGTGCACCTTTAGAGAATCCGAGTACAAGCGTAAAAGATACTCTTAACAATTTAGATAAGAGTTGCAGGAATATCGAAGATCATGAAAACTTTGAAGCACATGAACTACCCGCAATGTTAGACAAGAAAGCAGACAAAACAGAGCTTCAAACATTAAAGACAGAAATACTTCAAACATTATATCCTATAGGCTCTATTTATACGTCAATGAACTCTACCAGACCAGAAACAGTTCTGGGTTTTGGAACTTGGACTCAAATAGTCGACAGGTTTTTGTATTGTGCAAACTCTTCAAAGGAAACAGGTGGAAGTAAAACGATTTCAGGTGAAAATTTACCTGCACACAGTCACTACATAGATTTAAGTACATCTCAAGCAGGTTGGCATAAGCATAGATATTGGGATTGGTCAGCAATGACAAAAGGTAAAGGATATGATGTTAAAGACAACGTTAAGTTTGCTATAAATTGTTACTGGAGTAACACTGAGGGAGAAGGAAACCATACACATTTCGTTTCAGGATATACGCAAACAACGGGACAAAGTAAAGAATACATGCCACCTTACATGACAGTTTACGCATGGTATAGAATTGCTTAGTCGTCATTTTCAACTTCTTTAGCATTCGTCAGGAGTTGTCTTATATTTGTTAGGAACTGTCTTTGAAAGTATACCACCTTGAACTTTGACAAGTTTGAAACGAGGTCTGACAATAGTAGTTTTATCTTCTGCTTGCAGTGTGTACATTTTGCCATGTTTGCCTAAAACTTCGTAATATTCTCTTGTATACTTTCTTCTATTTTTACGAACACGAATGTGAGTACCTGTCGGGTTCCATTGTTGTCATAGTCAATAGTATTTTCATATGGGTCGCGTTTAGGTATTTCTATTTTTACTTTGTCACCTTTCTGAAGTTTGAAGCCCGGCATTCTTTCTTGTTTGTCTCTTTTGACTAAATTATTAAATATATAGTCTTTCTCTAAGTCAGGGTTGTTTTTCATTTCTTCGGGGGAGTGGTTTCCCAAACCTTTTTGTTTACGGTTATTGTAAATATTTAAAACTGTCTCATCTTTGCCATGGAGAAGTGTCTATATTTGTCATCAATATACATTTCATTTGCTTCACCACCTTGTGGTTGGTTTAAGTCTCTTAACATTTTTATACAACGTCAATGACACCAAGAGCAGAATGGTTTTGGTCGACAATGAAATATTGGTTTACATTTTTTGAACGCAGATAGTTTTTAATATCATCTGATTTGAAAGAACTTTCACAGTCAGATGTCAGTTTTGTTGGATGGTATTTGTCAACGAATATTGTCAAAGCAGTTTTTACATCTAAAATATTTTTGGACCATAATGGTATGGCTTCACAGTATCTTGTGTTTTGACCAACAAATATTAACCAGTATGGAGGTCCATCTGTTCTAACTCTCGGAATGTTTTCCAAGATATCCATAAACCAAGCATTTGGTGTTGAACTAAAGATTTTTATCATGAGTGCTTTTTTTGTTGCCTTAGAAACATAGGGGTCCTTGTTTGGATTCGTCATTTTTTAACCCATAAGAAATGGGTTTATTTGGCGCATTAGCAGGAGTTGCATCCAGATTTTTGCCCGCAGTGGGAACAATAGCCAGAGGTGCATTTGGAATTGGAAGGAAGATTTTGAGTACATTAGGTATACTTAAAGAGAAAGCACAACCTATTATACAAACTGTACAGAAAGGTTGGGATGTAGCACGAGATGCAACAAATCTTATTCCAAATCCTGAAACAAGAGGAAAAGTTCAAGGATGGATGGACAATGTAGGAAGACAAGCAGGAAACTATTATAACAAAGCAAATGACTACTATAACCAAGCAGGACACTATATGGACCAAGGTGAAAGATTCTTTAACAGAGGATATAACCATGCACAACAGTGGGTAAACAATAACTAACCTCAACCGCCTCAAACGTGGGGAATGTAAAATTTTTTACTGAGATGAAATGAACAATACAGCATTGAGAAAATGGGTTCAAGATGGATTTGTCGACTTCCAGCAGTTACACCACGTGTTTGTCAAGTTCTTCCTATACCTCAGGAAGTTTTAGACCGACTTAAAAACCTAAACAACCAGTTGAAAACAAACCAAACTAAAATTTTTTACTGAGATGAAATGACCGGAAGAAGTTGAAACGGTAGATTTGACACCACAAACAAAAAGTTCAGAACCATTGTCAAAACCCGTCAAAGAATTACAGATGAGAGAGAAAATTCAATAATAGAAAGTGCCAGATCTGGAAATACAAACCCTAACTATAAAGTCACTTTTTCATAAAAATGGAACGGCTAGTATCTCAAAAAAGAAACAGACTCTCACAAATAAAATATTGAAGTCTGAAGGAGTTTATGAGACAACAGATGGAAAAGTTTACTTCACTGACCAACAGTTCATTATAGAACATCTCATTGACTTAGAGTCGAAATATTCTAAACTTTACAAACAAACACAAAAAGTTGAAAGGAAAACAAAAACAAATGGCATATGATATTTATGAAGATGTTGACGACACAACTGTTCCTGCAAGTGAAGTAAAGTCAGAGGAACCGAAAAGTGACGAAAAACCGATAGAAGAAGAAAAAACCAAAAACTGAAGATAAACCAAAACCAAGTTTAGTTTCCAAACTAAACCAAGTCAACCTTCATTAGCTGGTATGGGTTGGCGTCAAAGACTTATGGCAGCAGGCGGTTATGTAAAGTAAAGAAAAAAATATTTTTTTCTTTTTATAAAAATGCCCCCATATAGAATGGATAGAAAATCTGCTAGAATAAAAGCAGAGTTACAAAGATATGGTTGGAGAGTTTCGAAGAATTTTAAATATAGGAAGGGAAGACCCATAAAGTCTATGACAAATTGTCTGGTCTTCGCTACGAAATGGATTGGGAAACAGCACGTGCCAATTATCCAAACAGACTAGAGAGGTTAGAAGAAGAACGTCTTATGGACATGCCTTTCGATGTTAGTGAACCTCAAGTTGAAGGACACGACGGCTTTGCCAGATTCTACTGGAAACATGACGAACAATTGCATCCTTTGAGAAGGAAAAAAGGTAGTGCAGAGGATGGTCATGCTCCCATGGAAAGAACAAGATATGCATATGAAAAGTATCGTGAAGTTAGAAGTCAAATTACATCTGGTCGAACCTTTACAGTAAACTTTGACGAAGGAAAGAACAAAGAAGGCTTCATGGGAGTACTTGCTGCCATAAAAGACGGAAATAAGAAAGGACACAATCTCAGATTGACCATAACAGATTTGGATGGTCACATTTACTATGCACATGGCAATGAACAAACAGCCGCAAAACTTCTTGACGCTTTCAAGACTACAAAGAGAGTACAAATGGTTGACTCCGACTCAGACATTTTGAATGCAATTGAAGGAATTGCAAGTGTCAAGTTCGAATGGTACCAACCTAACCCTCAAGCAGTCAGACAACATGCTGGATACTTCCCGTTCATAAATAAGTCTGACATTGACTTGACAAGGTATGGAATTTACAATTCAATTGAAACAATTGTCAATGAACCTTGCATTTTACATGTCTCAGGAACTCTGGTCTTGTTACAGATGAGAAGATGAAGTATCTTGAGTCATGTGTGAAGACAAGGTACATTCTCAGAGGTCAATTGGCAAAAATTGCACCGTTGGCAAATGTCAATATCCGAGTCAACATACCTACAGCTAAAGGTTCTTCACATGACGACTATGTTGTTGAGTTCAATTTACCATGGTTGAAGATTGTAATTGTCCACAACCACTTCATGTTGAACGAAAGTCTTACAAACCCATTGTTCGGAAAAAGGCAAGTGCAACATTGTCAGAGCTGTAAACATTCTTTTCGAGAAAGGTTTGTTGGAACCAATTCCAGATGACAAGCTGACAGAAACTTTTGTACCAAAAGACGAAACAAACTTTTCATTGTTAGCAAGACCAAAGTTGTTCCAGACAAAGTTCTAGTACAAAAGAAGTACACAATTCCACAAGGAGTTGGATTGTTCGGATACCAACCTGAACCAGAAGAACTTCCAATGAGGTTGCAAGAACTCAAGATGCTATAAACAAACTTCCATTGAGACATCCAATTGACGTCAAATTGTATTGGAGAGCATCTGAGTTAGGTCAGAAGGTTTTATATGAAACAGGTTGCTTCGACGATGTTTATGAGATAACAGGAGAAGTTTCTCAGAAGATAAGAGACTCACTTGGAATTTCCACAAACTGGACCAATTGGTTGCGACAAGTTCGACTCAAACGAAAAGATATACTATGTCGACCTTAACGCTGCGTACATGAGGTTTGTCCAATATATTCCGACTGGAATTCCAACGAAGATGGTGAGTTTCCGGGAAGGAACTATACAGTTGGAAAAGTCATACAACAACTGTATGATATTAGGAAAGCTTCAAACCCCAAACTTGCAATGACACTCAAATTGCTTATGAATTCGACATGGGGATATTCCATTAAGAAACCTCAAGAGATGAAGAGTAAACATTATGAGAAGGTCGACAACTTTGTTGAAAGGTTTTCTCCTTTTGTTTTGAAGTACGAATTCACTCAAGGTCAAAGTGGCTTAGTAACCACATTAAAACCTATTGTCGAACATTGGTCTTACCCTCAGTTCGCAAAGGCAGTCCTTGACAACTACAACAAATTCTTCTCCGAAGTCAAATCGAAAGTCAAGGTTTACTATGAGAACATTGACGCACTCATAACGAACGAAGAAGGATACAACAAACTCATTGAAATGGGTTTAGTCGGTGAAAAGATGGGTCGATTCAAATTGGACAAAATTTTCACCGAAGTTCATGTCCTCTCCAAGCGTAAGTATTGGGGCATACTTGAAGACGGCACAGAAATAAAACATTGCATGAAATAAAAAATTTTTATTCGAATTTGAATTTAAATGTGGGAATTCTTGGGAAAGGGTTCTCCTTGTTTGGAAGTAGTATCCAAGGACGCTTGGCAAAGAACTTTATAATGGCTTCCTTCTTTGCTTGCTTTATGTCGTCGAAAGGAGTGTTTTCTGGTATTTGAATTGGAATTCCGGTCGAAGTCTCGAGATTCAAGGCAGCCCTTCCAGAAATAGCGGTGAACTTGACCTTGGGCTTCATGACCTTGCGCAAGTACTGCTTAACAAGCTCGTTAATTTCAATTAGGTAAACTGCCTCGTCAAATCCTTCTGGCATTCCGAGTCCTTCCATCCGACAGGAAAATATTTTCCCGACAACTGGAAAAAATTTTCCTTCCGACAGAAAAAATTTTTCCTTCCGACAGGAAAAAATTTTCCAGCTGTCCGTCCGTTAACCATTCAAATTTTCGAAAATTGAGAACTTTTTGGTCGAACTTCAGAAAAAGTTTTTCCATCCGACAGGAAAAAATTTTCCTTCCGACAGGAAAAAATTTTCCATCCGACAGGAAAAAATTTTCCATCCGACAGGAAAAGTTCTTCCTTCCGACAGGAAAAGTTCTTCCATCCGACAGGACACAAACGGATGTCCGACGTACCACCAACCGAGTCCATTCCCAAACCAGAGGAACCTAAAGAACCACAACAGTCTCCTCAGCAACCTCAGTTCCAGCAAGTACCTCCGAATTACTACCAATTTCCACCTCAAGGTTACTACCCACCACAAGGCTTCCCGAACTACCCTCCTCAGCCTATGCCTTACTGCCCCAACCCTTGGTTGTTCCAGCAAGCTCCACCCCAGCAATTCCAATCTCAATCCAAATCGAAGAGAGACCAAGAGTTCGAAGAAGGTCTGAACCGCTTACGCAAAGAGTATGCTACAGCTCCAATTGAGAGAAAGTTGTTCCCGGACCAAAAAATATAATTTAGGTGAAGAGGTTAGATCTAACCTGTTTTCTCACCTGTTTTCTCACCCTCATGAATTTTCATGAATTTTCATGAATTTCCTTAAGATAGAAAAAATAAAATTAGTTTTATTTTTATTTATTTTTTTATTTTGTATGTAAAGACAGATATGTCAAACATTGAGTTTGAAACAGTTAGAAAGATAGACAATGACACCAAAGTGGTTAGAATAGGTGATTTAAACGTAAGATACTCAAAGAAATACAACAAATATTCTTTGTCAGACATTATATCTCCATCTGGAAAGAAAACACACGACTGGGTTAGAAATGCTTCTACTCAGAAAATTTTGACAAGAAATCCTGAGCTTATGATATCGGTAAGATTCTATGGAACTACAGCATATCTCATCGACAAAAGTCTTATACCAATAGTTTTGTTATGGTTAGACCCAGTTGTTGGATATAACTTCATAACATATGGTTCATTCGATACGGAACGTTGCAGTGAAGGCTTACTTTACATCGTTCAGAAACCGAAGGACTTCAATACAAAGAGATATAAGATAGGAAGAACATATAATATAACTCAAAGATATGACAGTACAGTCAATAGGGTCAAGGTTGTGTTTGCTAATGATATGAGAGCTGCAGAAACAGAACTACTTGAAAAGTTTGAGAAAATGTATGGTGCTCCCATAAAAGGTAAAGAAACGTTTGAAGTAGATGAGATAGATAAAGCTATAAAATTATTTGACGAAGTTGCTGAAAAATACATGTAAAGCGTTTATTTTTGGTCTTTTGTGAAAGTCAGAAAATAAAGTTAGTGTCATTTTTTTGTATTTTTTTGTATAAAAGACATGATTTCAGGGATTTTTTTGACGAAGTGTAAACCTTCACTTCGTCAAAAAATAACAGTTATCTAATGAAAAAGTGTCATTTTTTTGTATTTTTTTGTATAAAAGATATGATTTCAGGGATTTTTTTGACGAAGTGTAAACCTTCACTTCGTCAAAAAATAACAGTTATCTAATGAAAAAGTGTCATTTTTTTGTATTTGACGAGAATGTCGGGTAGATGGTTAGATCTAACACGTTTTCTAACACGTTTTCTAACCTCTTGAATTTTCATGAATTTTCCCGAAATAAAAAATAAAGTTAGTTTTATACAAAATTCACGCAGGAAATTCTTGAGTTTTGGTTGAAAGAATACGGTGGAGCCAAAAGTGGCTCGACCTCAAAACAAGCATTTTATGAGCTTACTAAGGGCGTTATAAATGAATTCAAAGGTATTTACATACATCCTGGCCTCGTTCATTTTGTTGCTGAATTCAGCAAAAATAAAGTTTATGTTAGAATGTTAGATCTAACACGTTTTCTAACCTCATTTCTAACATGGTCTAAAACTCTCGAAAATCATGAATTTTATATATTAATGTTTTCGCTAAGCCACTTTGTGCCGTCAGTCAGTCAGTCAGTCAATGAAATTTACACCAAAAAATAATGTTTATGTTAGAATGTTAGATCTAACACGTTTTCTAACACGTTTTCTAACATGGTCTAAAACTCTCGAAAATCATGAATTTCCTTAAGATAGAAAAAATAAAGTTAGTTTTATTTTATTTATTCTTCATTTTTTTGTATAAAAGATATGATTTCAGGGATTTTTTTGACGAAGTGTTAACCTTCACTTCGTCAAAAAATAACAGTTATCTAATGAAAAAGTGTCATTTTTTTCATTTTTTTGTATAAAAGATATGATTTCAGGGATTTTTTTGACGAAGTGTTAACCTTCACTTGGTCAAAAAATAACAGTTATATAATGAAAAAGTGTCATTTTTTTCATTTTTTTGTATTTGACGAGAATGTCGGGTAGATGGTTAGATCTCACCTGTTTTCTAACACGTTTTCTAACATGGTCTAAAACTCTCGAAAATCATGAAATTTACACCAAAAATATAATTTATGTTAGAATGTTAGATCTCACCTGTTTTCTAACACGTTTTCTAACATGGTCTAAAACTCTCGAAAATCATGAAATTTACACCAAAAATATAATTTATGTTAGAATGTTAGATCTCACCTGTTTTCTAACACGTTTTCTAACACGTTTTCTAACCTCTTGAATTTTCATGACTTCTTCGTAAATGTTTTGTCAAGACTTCTTCGTAAATGTTTTGTCATGACTTCTTCGTAAATGTTTTGTCAAGACTTCTTCGTAAATGTTTTGTCATGACTTCTTCGTAAATGTTTTGTCAAGACTTCTTCGTAAATGTTTTGTCATGACTTCTTCGTAATGAGCGTAAAGGACCCAAAAATATAATTTAGGGTAGATGGTTAGATCTAACACGTTTTCTAACACGTTTTCTAACCTGTTTTCTAACCTCATTTCTACCCTCGTGAATTTTCATGAATTTCCTTAAGATAGAAAAAATAAAGTTAGTTTTATTTTATTTATTTTTTTTTATTTTGTATGTAAAGATATGATTTCAACAATCGGCACAACAACAATTCAAACAACAGCACCAAACTCGTTAGTCATGAATCCAACATCTATGTTAGTAGAAATGAAAAGCTTCATTCCTTCTTCATATACTTTTGAAACAGAAATCCAGAAGATAAAGCAAGAACTTTTAACAAGTAATTTAGACTGTAGTGCGAAAGATGAAACAAATGAAGAATATCTTTATGAAATGCAGGACATTATTGACCATTTGCCTAAACTACCTGAAATCCAACAACAAAAACTCACTATTCCTGAATTCGATGAAATAGAAGTGAAACCAACTGACTCAGTAGAAATAAAGAAGTTCATACGAAAGGTAAATTATGAATTCCTTGGTTTTCATTGCAACCATAAAGTTATGGACAAAGATTGCGATATGGTATATAAGAATGTTTCTGACATATATAAATCTGAAGAATTTAAGACCTACGACAACTTTGTTTCGTTAGTTGCTGAATGTGTTTGGGAAATAAGAGATAAAGATAGAAGAGGCAAAGTATGGAACAAACAAATAAGACCCGCTATGTTTGAGATGAAGAGAGCAATTGACGCTTTAGTTGTTTTAGCTGGTTTTATTTCAATGTATAACGCAAAAATGAATCCGCAATGTTCAAAATGTAAGGCAGCAATTAGGAAATATAACTACTCCGTCAAAGAGATAGAACGTATGAGAAACGACTATGCTGACTTAAAGAAAGAAGCAGAGAAGCCGGTAGAAAATAAAATGGACATGTTAGAATTTCTGAACAAAAACTATCCAACTGCTGACGATTTCTTTCTATCTGACGTCAAGAAGAAGTATAAAGAAACCTTCGGCATTGTTAAAACATTCGATGTACTAAAAGAAGAAATAGAAGCTACAAAACTGTTTAAAGTCATGAACCATCGCAACATATACCATGTAAAACGCTTGTAAATAGTTATGTTAGAAAAGAGGTGAGAAAACGTGTTAGATCTAACATGTTAACATAAACTTTATTTTTTCTATCTTAAGGAAATTCACGAAAATTCATGAGTTTTGTGTGTTTTAGACCATGTTAGAAAAGAGGTTAGAAAACGTGTTAGATCTAACATGCTAACATAAACATTATTTTTTCTATCTTAAGGAAATTCACGAGAATTCATGAGTTTTGTGTGTTTTGGACCATGTTAGAAAAGTGGTTAGAAAACGTGTTAGATCTAACATGCTAACATAAACTTTATTTTTGTCTGATTTACGCTCATTACGATGAAGAAGTCTTGACAAAACATATACGTTCATGTTTGACAAAACATGTACGAAGAAGTCTTGACAAAATATTTACGAAGAAGTCTTGACAAAACATGTACGAAGAAGTCTTGACAAAACATGTACGAAGAAATCATGACAAAACATGTACGATGAAATCATGAAAATTCATGAGGTGAGAAAACAGGTGAGAAAACAGGTGAGATCTCACCACTTCACCTAAACATTATTTTTGTCTGATTTACGCTCATTACGATGAAGAAGTCTTGACAAAACATTTACGAAGAAGTCTTGACAAAACATATACGAAGAAGTCATGACAAAACATTTACGAAGAAGTCTTGACAAAACATTTACGAAGAAGTCATGACAAAACATTTACGAAGAAGTCTTGACAAAACATTTACGAAGAAGTCTTGACAAAACATTTACGAAGAAGTCTTGACAAAACATTTACGAAGAAGTCTTGACAAAACATTTACGAAGAAGTCTTGACAAAACATGTACGAAGAAGTCTTGACAAAACATGTACGATGAAATCATGAAAATTCATGAGGTGAGAAAACAGGTTAGAAAACGTGTTAGATCTCACCTCTTCACCTAAACATTATTTTTACTGAAAAATGACCAAAATTCTGAGTAAAATGGCATATGCTT